GAAGTTCACAACCAGTTCAGGGACTCAGGAGGGGTCCAGCACATCTTAAACAACATTTGGGGACACAAAGTTAGATCTTCTGCTTTTCTAGCAGATCTAAACAGACATTTTGAACCCCTGATCCACAGCCCTCGTCCCATCTCCTTGCCAGAACACCACACCGGCTCTCAACAAGTTACTGAGAACAGCAGTCAGTCAGAAGGGAAAGAAGTATATTCTGCACATGCTCAGAGTTGAGCGACCCTCTCATGGGGCTGATCTTTAGTTTTAAACAAGCGCTCTGCAACTAGCCGTACATCTCCCAAGCTGCCGCCACTGCCCTGGAGATGGACTCTGGAGACTGCACATATACCAAGAACATCCAAAGCATTTCCCTAGGAAGCTGCAGGCAGGTCATAGCAGAAGGGTCGGCCTCGATTCACCAAGTTCACTGGCGCTTGTAAACCGAGGGCTTGCCTGGGGCCAACATGAGTATTTCCTGCAGGGAACCGGATGGTAGTGTCTTTATATCCCCAACAAAATTGGTTTATCAACTGGATTATCTATCCATCGATCGATCGATCGATCTAATGTGCAGCTGTGAATTTTAAACTCGCCACCATAACTACTAGAATTATATGGACTTTGCTCTTGTGTCCAGACCCAACCGGTCAGTCCGAGAGGAGATCAACCCTGACTGCTCTTTAGAAGGCCAGATGCTGAAGATGAAACTCAAATACTTTGGCCACCTAATGAGAAGGAAGGACTCCCTGGAGAAGAGCCTGATGCTGGGAAGGATTGATGGCAAAAGGAGAAGGGGGCGGCAGAGGATGAGGTGGCTGGATGGGGTTACTGGGGCGGTGGGTGTGAGCTTGAGTGGACTCCAGGGGATGGTGGAGGACCGGAAGGCCTGGAGGAATGTTGTCCATGGGGTCACGATGGGTTGGACGCCACTTCGCAACTAACAACACGCAGGAGACAACATTACATCCCACTGCAGGGAGTCTGGTGCCTGGATCTTGTCCTCCATCCGAATCTTTTCCTAGCCATTCTACTGCACTCATGCTTTCCTAACAAAACCCAGCAGGAAATACGCAAACACACACACACACAAGTGGTATGAGGTCACACCAGAGCAGACAGACCAACAAATAAACATCCCGACAGCTACAAAAGAAGGTCTCCTGCATTTCGGTGCTGCGAAGGCTGCCTATGGAGAACTCAGAACAGCTGGGCCAGTTGTTAATCTGGTATCAGACAGTGAAATGACATTGCTGGGGGGGCGGGGGGGCACTCAGTGGATCAATTCAGAGCATTGTGCATGTTGCCACCTCCGCTGGAAGAGACGTGCGTGCCGAAGGCCCGCCTAACATTTAAAATGTTTAAAGCGGCTGTGCTTTAAACATTTGGGAAGATCTGGGAAGGCAGACAAGGAAGGAAAAGGACCAAGCCAAGAGGGCGTGGAGAATTCATCCTAAGACAAGGGCTGGCTCTTAGCTGCCAGATGCTGACCTGAGGATGCTCGGCAATTTCAAAGCCCAAGAACCAACATGAAGATGGGGGTGGGAAAGCAGCTGCGACAGACGCCCAAACCCATGGAGAGCGCAGAAGTTTAGCGACCACATTTCTGCCCACATCTGCACACACCTGCCCAAGCTCACCCCACTTAAAATGAAACTGTTCGTGATCTGCCAGCAGCCGTTAGGGCCGAGCCTTGTGGCAAGGCAGTAAAAATAGCATCCCTATTAGTCCAAATTAAGCATCATGTTGGGGGGGGGGGCTTCTCTGTGGCTACATCTACCTCCTGGGGCGCCCTTGCGAGGGAGGGAGGGTCAGCCCGCTCTCGGCTGTTCTTCTGCAGGCAGAAAACTTTTTTTTTTTAAATTTAGGCAGGCCTTTGTCACGTGGGCTGGTTTGGTGTTGCTTTTTTAAAAAGCAGCTGGTGCCGTTTCACTTCTATATATGTTGTGTTTGGAGTAGACTTGTTTGAATGTTATGCTTTCCTTCAGATTTTTGTGATTCTTCTCGATTTTACTGTTAGCCACCTTGCATAGCACTCTGGGGCAGAAAGGCAGGGTACAATTTAAGAAAGCCCACAACCCTGCTAGTTGAGACGAGATTTCTATTCAGTTCAACATCATGTTTTTAAACAATGGCCGAGCATTCAAAGGTAGACTGCCTCTGACAAGGAGGCTCCATTTAATTCACATGGCTAGCCAAAACAGGAGACATACTTTAACTGAATCCACTTAAACCTTTCCTTCACGGTGTGTTCCCTGTATCTTGGATTCAGGGGCCAATGACCTGCCAAGCTTTTCCTGAACCATCTGCAGAATGCATGAGCCAAATTTGCATTTTACATAAATTTAGTTGGTTTGTATTCACCAAAGAGATCCGTATTCCTGCAGGAATTAGGAACATACCCGTGTGCATCCAGAGTGGAAAAATATGGATTCATTAAAATATTTCTAACTTGCCCTGGATCAGTAGACCTCAAGGTGGGATATGTCAATAAAGCACCCCAAGACCACCCATCAACACCCTAAAACCACAATCCGTGGTTTAGGGATTGTGGAAGGAGTGGACGGAGACACTTTCAGAAGGACAGGGGGAAAACGTGTTGGCATAAAAAAAATGTACAGTGTGCATGTCTCAGATTTGCAAATTCAAAGACCTATTTATGGGACTTAGAAAGAGGATATCCCTATTAAAATTCAGCAAGAAATGTTCAGACGGGTTGCACCCCATATCCCAGCTAGAAAAAAGAGATTGCTATCCAAAGATAGGGGTGTTCAAAGAAAACAAGGAGTAGGGTGCTGGCTGTTTGCAGTATTCAGAGGGTGGGGTGGGAGGTCAGAAAGCATCAGCATTTGGGGCTGGAGAGCGGGAAAACCTTTACTAAGATGGAGGTGAAGGCAGGCCTGGGGGCCACTGGGGGACAATTGAGAGATTTCTGCAGGGGAATGGGCTTGTCCGCTGTGTTTACCGCATGGGTCAGGGAGGCATCCGTGGGGGATCTGGGTAAAGATCCGGAGGCTATGGGGTTGGTCTGGCTCTTTCCGTAGGAGACAGGGCAAGAATAGGGAGCTGTCTAGAGTAATAGGGACCTGAGTAATAGGGACCTGAAGACTTTTAGAGGGCCATCGGAGGCCTAGCTGGCCTTGACAACAGGGGGTGTCAGAGTATAGGAAAGGAGGTAAGAAGGAAGGGGATGGAGGTCCAGTGAAAGACCAGGATGGAAAAGCAGGTCGGGGAACACAGACAGCAAAGAGAGGGAAAATTTTGGAGAAATGATGCAAGACACGGGGGCAGGGCAGTCAGGAATAGGGTGGGGGGATCCTGTGATGAGTCTGAAGGGGAGGGGGGTCAAGCCAAACAAGGACTTAAGAAAGAAACAGAGGTAGAGCTGATTATGGGATGGAGGAGGAGAGAGGAAGACAAGGAAGGCCGGTGGGAGTGGGAGAGATAAAGTCCCGCTTTTATGATAAGGATGGGGAAGGGGCATCAGGAATGAAGTCCTAAAGGGGAGATGTGAGGAAAGCAGTAACCCTTCCTTGGGAAACGGATAGAGAGCCCTGCCTGTGTGTGTGTGTGTGTG